AGGAGCTACAGTCTTAAACTATAGAGTTTAAGAGACAGACATTTTGGCATAATAATGTGAATACAAAGTGAAAGTAAAAGTAAAAAAGGTCACTCAAAGTGACATTTACAAAAAGAATATTTTGAACCACAGCCAGTTTCTGCTACTGATTTTACAATGACCATTTGTTTACAGAGACAGATAGATCTCCAGTAAAAGTCTAAAACTTGGTAACTAAAATCTTGTTAGTAAAGTATATGCTGAAGAAAATATGCACTCTAACAAATTGAGTCAGCACACAGATAACCACAGACAAATCTGAGCTTGCCTTTAACTTGGAGGTTAAAGAGGATGCCTTTATATATTCCATCAGGATCAAAACTCTCCACTCTGTATTGACCTGTGTCAGTCCTCTGCACATTGCCGATCTTGAGCGTCCCTGTGTCGATCAAGAACTCAACTTTGTCTCTATATTCCTCTTCAATTCTCAGTTTTCCTCTCTTCAAGGAAAACACTTTAAGATCGGATTTGTAAAAACGTAGCTTATATCCAGTTGCGTTTCTCAATAGAATGATGTAGGCTGATCCACCGACTGTGGGACAGCATGAGGATGTAGCTTGAGTGAAATTACATTCTGTTTCACCAGCAACCTGAAATAATGCTGGAAACATTTAAATAACACGTGAGTTGATTGGTAACAGTAACATTACAATGCTATCACATTTGTCTGAATAAGATCAGGGTCTTACCATGAGTTTCTCCGGCCAACACAAGAAGAAGAAGAAATTGCTCCATACTCCTCTGTCATCTGGTTTGACCTCTAAAACGTCTGAGAAATTGCAAACAAGCTTCAGGCAATTATCTGTCAAAAAGTTTGGCTGTGAAACTCAAAAGTTCCACATAATCTAATACTATGACATGCATATAAAGGAAGGAAATAAAGTCTACAGTTTCTGTTCTTCTTTCAGTGAATCCAAGTTCAGGCCGTAGTGAAGACAACAAGAGAAAATATCCAGACTAATTAGTTAATTGAGTTCTATCATATACTAGCGTGATTCAGTCAATCTTTCTTTTTTATTTTCATCATTCTAGCTAAGTGTGACACCTTCATGTTCTCAGACAGGAGAAACTAGCAGTAGCTGCGGGATTGGTTCTGTTTTCTTATTTGTTATTTTATGGTGGAGCACATTGTTGAGCTCATAAATATTCTACACATGTAAAAGACAGAAAAAAATGGCACTCCTGAACTTGCTAAGTGAAAAAGACTGCACAAAGACTTTTGCTGGCAAGACCTGTATCATTACATCTCTATAAGGCTTTGGTGCAAAGGACAAGAAAATGTGGAAATGAAGAAGAGAATTGACCTTTATATGGAAATGCACCACACGTCATGGTATCCTCCATGACGTGTCTTTAAAAACACTTGGGTGAGCTTAGTTATGAAAATATTTTTTTTCACGTTGGGATAAAAACAGTATTTTTGAATTAAACTGAAACACACACCAGAGCTTATTTGCCAACCAATCCTCTTATGGGATCATGAGCTTATGTAACATCAGCAGCTTAACGACATAGAAATAAGCAACTCAAACATTGTAAAGCCTTGCAACGTTTGCAATTACTTTTGATTACTTTAAAGTAATTGCAAACTATTTCAAAGTGTTTTGCTTTAGATTTTGCTTAAAACATTAGAGCAAGTGACAAAAATTGACAAATGCATTTATTTTTCTGATGAAAACCTTTACATATCATCTCATTGTTTAAAACATAGCAAGTTATTTTTGCTTATCAAACACTGAGTAATCTAAATTTATTAAATCAACTTTTAATGTTGCTAGTTTTTTCAAAAACATCTTGAGGATATGCCTGACAGGGGTCCATATTTTTAACAATAGAAAATGAGACAATTCTGTTGTCTCATTTCAGAGATTGTTTTATAATTTTATTCTTCAGAAGTGCAGCACAAACATTTAACTTTACAACTGTTTACAAAAAGCTCTTTTATTTCAAACCTTATGCTTTATCAAATGTTAATTCAAAATCTGCTTAATAAAAAAAACTTTATGATATGCAAAAGATCTTTGTTTCGGAGGAGCAGTGCATGTACAAAGATTTACACAAAAACATTTTTATTATTGATGTCAAGTCAAAATAATATTAAGGTAGAAGAAAAAACAATAGAGAGCAATAAAATTATGATAGTAAATATTATAAATGAGCTTCCCTAAAAGAAAAAAAAAAATGTGTTTGCTGTTAATTTGTCGGAATCCACAGCAAAGGGTTTTTCCAAAATCAGTTTGTCCATCCAAACTCTTTGCAAAGATCTTTGCAGTCAGGCAACAATCACATAACCTGGATAAATAATAAAGAAAAAAAACACAACAACTAATTACAAAGACATAAGACTTAACACATAATTCTACATTTAATGATAGAAAATTCTCTAAATCCTTATTTGTGAGCTTTCTTTGTAATCAGAAGCAGATAATGAAATAATTACCTGTCCTTTTGCAGGGCTTACACATCCAAATCACAATGCAGACGATAATCACAAGTAGAAAAAGTCCTGAAGCTGTAATGGTGGTCCTGAAATAAACTTTTCTTTCTGAAGAGAACACAAATTAGGTAATTAGATACTGTAAAGTATCCATTATTTATCTTATTTGTATCGATAAGTAATTTTTCAAGCTTTTATCAAGGAGCTGCAGGTTCAAAGGTTGTCATCATGTCATCTCTCCTCTTACTTGCACATAATAATTACATTTTAAAGTTCAGCAACAAAGAAAGGGGACATGAGAAACTAAATATGATGAAAAAAAGAGGAGGTCCGTTAAATTCACCTTTTACTTGAAGTGTAAAACTAAGAATTTTCACAAGGGTTTTCCTCGGAGTGTAGATATCTAGAGTGTACAGGCCTGCATCGTCCTCCTCCAGATCAGTGATCTTCATCGTCCCCGTGTCGACGAAAAATTCTGTCCTCGTTCTATATTCCTGTTGTATTTCAACCTTCCCTTTCTTCACAGTAAACACCAGGTCTTCACCCTTGAAAAGCACCAGCATGTAGCCAATGGCGCTGTTCATCAGCTTGATGTAGACAGTTTCTCCAGAAACAGAACTGCAGGGGGCTATGATCTGGGTGGCATCACATGTCTTAGAAACTGTGGCTAGACCTGGAAAAAAAAAACACAGATAAAGACAAAATGACTTATTCCCAATGTTAATTCGTCAGTGTGATAATGATCTTACCATAAGTTCCTCCAACTAACATCAGAAGAAGACAAGTTTTTTCCATGGTGCTAGTTTAACATCAGAAATACAAAGAAATAGAATAATCAAGATAAACACAGAAACACATTTGAGATGACCCAGTGCTGTTTGCTTGTGCTGAACACTGGCAGGTACCGACAAATATCCAGGAGCATTTTTCTATGTCCAAAAAAGGAAGTAACTTAGTTTTCAATTCTGCTTGGCTTTTAGCTGTTGTCAGGAGATCTCTACTATATATGAATCAATGCAAACATAGCGTGACCATGATTTTACAAAATGTTTCAGCCACTAAATGCCAAACCAACTAGGGTTTTCATTTCATGCATATTTAACCCCCAAAAATAATGGAAGTGAGAGTTACAGTCGATCAGTGGAAGTACTCGTAGAGGTTTGGGGTCAGTCTGCTGTATTTCATTGCACAGTGTTGTAACTTCAATATTGGAAGCTGGATCAAAAACATGGCCTGTTCAACATTTTCAGCCCTGTGGAGAATAAGCAGAAGCTTGGTCTTTCTGTACAAGTAAGACTCTGAATGTTTAACCTGAGCGATCAAACTTATTGCAAATGTAACTATTTTGTAGTTAATTAAGTCAGTAATTGTATTCTCGCTGCCTCTCTCTCAGGTGTTTTCTTGTGACGGCTTGGCAATAAACCCTGTGAAGCCCGAATTCCTGGCTTTCTGGATTTCTTCCCTCATGACAATGTGGATTGTTACCCACTGGTTGCCCAAGTCCCTTCTTCGCCTCTGCAGATTTACCATCAACCATTCCTGGATTCTCAGTTGACAGTGGGTTCGCTCCTCGTTCGTCTCCTTGTTCGTCTTCTCTCCGCCCTCCATGACAGCCTCTACGTCTACCTCCCAAGATCTCTCTCAGTCAAGACCTCACACTGGAACCCGGATCACTTCAAGGAAACCTACAAAGAGACCATATCCCAGAACCCACTGTACTACCCTCCTGACGGAAGTTATTCCTCATTTCCAGTATGACCAGTCGAATTTTTCCTAAAGTCCCACTTTCCGAAAACCTCAAACTCACCATCTTTCTCACTACAGATGACCCTGGTTTCCATCCACAAGGACAAGAATCACACAATCTCACCCTTTCATCATTGTTAAAGTAAACTTTATTATTTGTTCTCCTGGTGATGGTCTGTATGTGGGTGAAAAAACAAGGACCCTTCATGACATGTATTGTGTAACAGAAACTGGTTAAAATTTACTATTACCTCAAAAATAGTACTTTTTTGTATACCTCAAAAAAGTACACGCTGTAAATGAGAAGACAAGTATCTTAACTGAATCAGAAGAGTTTTCACTTCTGATTCAGTTAAGAAGTGATGGTTTCTAATTCCCTGAATCAGAAACTTATACGCTTATCAGCTCGCAGCCATTTGAGGTTCAGGGAAACTGAATAAGTGGTTAAATATTTTTAAAAATATATTTTTTTTAAATATTTTTTTAAACAAATTGCTACAATTTGTTAAATATTAAAAACAAATTGCAAAAAGCTAATTGCTATAACAAAACACTTGTTTTATCAAATGAGAATGTGATATTTCTGATTACATACAGAACCTGCCTCTGTCGGTAATATCCACATTATACTGTTGTCATTTAGGCACAGAACAGGTTGTTTTAAAAATAATATCTGGCACCATGTGAAGATTGTAGCAGAACTCTCTTACATATAATAGAAGTCATATTGCACATAGCTCCTTCTTTACATTTGGCTCACTGAAACACTGACTTGAAGCTGGGGAATCTAAATTCTATTTTTAAAAAGTTTTTCACATTTGTTAAAGCTGTCGAATGTCATGCAAGACAAATAATATGTGGAAAAAAAAATCAACTTCCTCTGCCTTCTCCCAAAGCTTCCAGTGCTAACTACAGAAATACACCTGTCAATCAGAAACAACCAATCACAGCCAGGAAGAGAGTCTTGGCACTGGCAATCAGGCTTGTGTATGTGCTGCTCACAGTCTCCCCCTTTCTCTCTGTTATGTGACAGCTCCTCCCCATCAGCAGAACAGGCCATAACATGTCATGCCCTTAGCATGGCCACCGCTGATGCCATTAGCACATTAAGCAGCACATACACAAGCTTGACTGACAGCACCAAGATGCTTCTCTTTGCTTTGTTTGGTTGTTTCTGAATAAGAGTGGAAATAATATCTCTAGGAAGAGATGGAAGAGCTTGTTTCTTTCATAGGTTATCTCTCATACTGTCAGCACATGGTGATAATTTTAATAAATATGCATGGAAAAAAATGTTTATTAAAGTTTCATGCCTCAGTTTTAAGTCTTAGTCTCTGATAAGTGCATATTGTAGGTTTATGTTTAAACCCAAATGTATTTAATTGAATCGGAAGATCCGGTCCACTGCAGCAGTATCTTCTCTTATTGTGAATCCGCATTTAAAATGTCTTGATCTATTTTATTATACTTTATTAGACATCATCCTTGTTGATTTCAGTTATATTTTCAGTTTTTCACTTCAGCTTTTTGCTTCTATATTTTGTTAGACATCATCCTTGTGTTTAGTCTTCTAAAAAATGACCTGCTCTTGAACATCTTAAACTTTCTTTTCCATTCCATGTTTTCTTTCTCGTAAACAGTATCCCAGTTCTTCTCCTCTTCATCTCCCATCCAGGGACCCCAGGCTTCACCATTTAGTTGGGGGTCTGCTTGTGGGTCCTCTGAGGGAAACCTTACGGGTACTGCCGTCCTGTTGTAGAACACCAGTCTGGCTAAGAGCTCCTTCACAACATCTGGCCTCTGTTCAGACAGGTCAAAATGTTCGTAGGGATCTCCGGAAACATTAAAGAGCCACACAGATTTGCGAGGTTTAATGTGTCTCTCCAGGTTCCAATATTCCCGAGGAAAACCTGGAAGAATAGGAGGTGGAATCCAATCTCCATAACCAGGGTTTCCGGTCAGAAGTTTCCAGTCTCCTGCTCGAATGGAGGCCTGAATTGCGGTATTCCAAATCCCAAATCCTTTCTGCAGGGACCCAGTGCGTGCATAGTTGTATAAAGGGTCGATATTGTGGAGTATCTCAAGTCTGGGTGACTCTTTTCCTTCACTGATGGCCTCCCAGACATTGTACCCATCAACCCCCTCAGTCAGGGACTCATTGCCACCTGCCAACCCGACCAAAGTGGGATACCAGTCAGTAATGTGTACCAGTGCTTTACTAACCCTCCTTTTCTTCCTCAAGAGAGGGCTATGTACAAACCCTAAACCTCGGACACCACCCTCCCAGTAAGTACCTTTACGTCCTCGAAGTGGCCAATTGCTGCCCCCAGACAAAGGCTGGCCTCCATTATCAGTGGAAAAAATTAGGACGCTGTTTTGATAGTATCCATACTTGCGGAGGGCATACGTTATGTTGCGAACAGCTTCATCTACAATGGAGACCATTGCGGCGTACTTTCTACGTGCAACGTTCTCCAGCTCCTTATACGGGCGGATGTACTCCTGAGGACACTGCAAAGGTGTGTGAACAGCTTGAAAGGACAGGAAGATGAAGAGTGGCTGGGACAGAGGATCATGGGCCGCGAGGATCTTGCGAACTCTCTGAGTGTACAGATGTGTGGAGTATTTGCCCCTGTGTCTCCAGGCAACCAACTCGCCCTCATGGAGATCAAAACCACAAAGCCTGGGGCCATCACAGGACTCATATGTGTAGTAGTTCGTGCTGCCCGTCAGAGAGCCCAAATATGTGTCAAAGCCTCGTCTTGTGGGCAAGCACTCCTTCTTGTAGAAGCCCAGGTGCCACTTGCCAACCATGTGGGTTGAGTAGCCGAGCTGCTGAAGTCTCTGAGGGAGGGTGATCTGGTCGAAGGGCAGGCAGTTGGGTTGGCGTGGACGGATGATGGAGTGCTGAAGGCCAGTATGAATTTGGTACCTGTAGAGAGAGAAGGAGACAGAAAATATAGTTCAGAGCTCCCAGATTCCGACCTCGACCATTTTATGTAGTTACATTAAGTTCAGGCCGAGAAGTTCTCAGGGAGAGAGTTAAGAACCGGCAGCTCAAGGTGTAAGAAATACACTATGCACATTTTTGCTTTTCTGTAGGTGCAGTGGATGCTTTGTTAGCATCACACCAATCAAAAGCAAAAAAAAATTATTCTCTTTTTTGGCACTGAAAGAGGTAAATGCATTATGCTTCATATTCGGTGAAACGGATAATTATTTTCTGATAGGTTTAACAGTAGGTCAGTAATTGTGTGTGTGGTGTGTTGCTCTGTCACTTCACAAAGCTACTGGACTTTATCTTTTCACTTCAAGAAAACATGAAAAGGTTCCTGCTTTTCATTGTTTTTTTTTTTGTTTTGTTTTTTGCATTTTAAACCAATGTAATCTGTTTACAACCCTAAACAACTGACAAAATCTTTCAGATGCAGTGTTAAATCTATACGAAACAATAAAACAATGAAACAAACAATTTATCAGAATGGAAACAGACCAGAGCTGATATAATGACATAATCATTGCTTCTATATAAAGAGCTCCAAAGAAATGGTACATTTAGTCGTATATTACAAACACAGCTGCCATTTTAGCATTTTAAGAAAAGAAGCCTTAATCATTTTTGAAAGATTCATCAACTAGTGCACAGATATTAGTAATTTATAGTTGTAAGGAAATCTCTTTGCTCAGTGGACATTTGTGGAAACCATGACAATATATTGAAGATATCACTGAGCTGTAGTTGACAAGAATTGAGGTTATTATTGTCTTCAATTTTCAAAAAAACAGCTTTTACTCTCATAGAAAAACATGCAAGTGCAAATCTATGCATTCTATTTGAAACACACATTCATATATTTTAATATTAATTTGAACTACTTTATTTTTTAGCATGACATTTGAAAGTAAAAAACATGTAACACAAATGTCTCTGTTTCCTTCAGGTGAATAAAAATTAAAGAACTAATAAAATACTCTACCTGCCAGTGATGAGTTGACTTCGGGACGGTGTACAGATGGGCTGAACATAATAATTCTCCAGCTTCACACCATCTGCAGCCAGTTTATCCAGTACGGGTGTCCTAATGTCAGAGCCGTGATAGCCAATGTCATTGAAGCCCTGGTCATCTGTCATGATAAAGATTATATGAGGAGGTTGCTGGACAGGAGTCCTGTCATTGAAAGTCTGGTCAGGCTCGTTTTCCACCTGATTGGGGCTCATTAGATCCCAGCTCAGGTAGCCAAGGCTCAGCAGGCTCATCACCGAGAAACCAGTCAGGGTTGTTGTCGCCATGGTTTAAATCAATGAAGCTTGCCGATATTTTGTATGTCGTCAGTAAACCATTCCTGCTGTAAGAAAATATCCTCTCATTAGATGCTGCGATCGTCTCTTGTTACACCTGAGTTGGGGCTGAGCAAGTCATAACCTTCCTAAAGACAAAAATACACCTTCATCCTCGCTGGCTCTCCAAACTGTGCCAGGTTAAATGAAAGCGTTTCACTTTTCCAATCAACCCCGCCCATCTGCCTGGCTGGCCCACTGAAAAAACATGAGGCCCCCCTGCCTCAAAAATAATCAAACACACACACATTGCTGCTGTATCCAGGTGTTCATTCAGACTTTACATCAAGTGTTTAAAGTTATACACAATTAAGCAATGTGGATATTTCAACATTTTGCTCTGTTTCGTGTATAAACAGTTTTTATTGCCTTTAGAATTTGAGCATTTAAACATTTTGTCCCACCTATGCTCCTTCAAGGTCATGTTTTAAAAAAATTCAGTCCAATCTTCACAAATTGCATTAGAAATGTTTCCCTCTTGGGTGTATCCGTGTCAGACAGAGAATCTACAGAAAAAGACCTCCACTCACAAAATGCCTGCCGGGGGAAAGTTGGTTCTCCGGGTGGTTGTTGGGCCCCAAAGCCACAATCCCGAACACTGTTCCCCACTTTGCTCCGCAGCAGTCACAAACACGTTCCTACTATTCCTGCTGTTTTACGGGGGTGGCAGACCTGAGCGGAGAGACAGAGCAGACTCCCCGACCTCTGATAACATCTCTGAGCAGGCGTAAAAGAAGCACTTTACAAATCACCCCGAGGGTCCACAGAGCACAGCGGGACTGCAGAGCTTCAGCTGCAGCTCATGAGTGGAGGTATTGCTCCACAGCATCTCCACTGTGTAGCCCTTCCTAGCGCTGCAGATTGATTTTGACTGAGAAGGAGGGAATTTGTTCCAGTAGAACTCACAAACTTTGAGAGACTAATTTATGCTATTTTAATATGTTCTTGAATTTATAATACATTTGTAATGGGACATTTGACATAAAGCAAATAAACAAAAAAACAAAAAACAAAGGAAGCAAGACTTTTCTGGACAGGTTTTAGGTTTTGCGAGAAATGAGACAGTGGTCAAACCCGGAGAGGAACTGAGGAAAATCATTACTCACAAGAGCATCACACACAGCAGGTCCTGTCAAACTAGCTCAAATAAGGAATAAACAAAACTAGAAAAAAACGTCAGAATAATAGCCAACATGAATGCACACGTTGCTTTAAAGACAGAAAATATAGAAGTAAATCTATATGGATTACATGTAAATCCAAAACTTTGAAGAATTAATGTTGGATTTATTGTAACTACACTTTGTAGTTTGCACATTATATTAAACATTTCACAGGTGCTTTCATTTGTCCTTGTTTTCTAACATTTGCCTTCAAAAGCCTGAGCAAAACAAATTTTTGTAGTGTTTGATGGATGAAGCTAATGGTCACATTTACACTTAAATAAGACCTTCATATGAGCTTAAAAAAGTGAATTTAGTATTTAGCTTGACATCCGTTACACTGTGAGACATTTATGGTCCAGAAAATTTAAAGGGTTTCTGGAAATCTCAGGGTTAATGAAATGATACATCGCTTATGCCCACATAATGATTGATCTGTTGAAGATAGCATTTGGTAAACACACTGGAAGGTAAAACATCATCCCGTGCAAATGTTGATATTAGGACCTGTGGGTATGGAGGTTGTTTGGAAACCAGAGGAGGTATGGGCCCAACGAGAGCACAGCTGCGGTTGGACATGTTTTTCAGCAGTTGCGGCAGCATCTTTGGTGTGGAGTGTCCAAGTCTGAGGCATGTCAAACCTGAAAAGAGCAAAACAAAAGTGATAATTGTACACTTTATGTTTTATACCATTTTGTTTAGTTATGCTTTTTTTTTTCTAGACTGAGACACTCTGAACACAGTTGCAAAAATCAAGGCAAAACACAGCACTTGCATTTTATGTCAGCTAAATATTATGGTTCTTACATAATCCATCTTTGCAGTAGTTTTTGTATTAAGCAGAAATCAGCCACACATCAATCTGACATCCTCTACAAAAATTTTTTTGTTTTTTTTTTAGAAAAAAAAAATCTGTGATTACTTTGAAATACATGTGTTGCTTCGTACTGTATGTCATTCATAAAATGGTAAATGACTTGTACTTGTATCACTATTTATGAAGTCAATAGGATTCCAATCCTATTGACAATCACACTAATCGTTGTACATGAATGGAGTGCTTCCTGTTTGGAAGATGTGACTCCAACATGAGCATTTGTGTCAAAAAGATTTGTTTCAAAATGTTCTATACATTTTAACAATAAAGGAGAGATTGGTTGGGATTTTTCATTCCTTCTCGACTTTTTACCTGAAAATATGATGTGGAAAGTTTTGAAGTAAGAAATTATGTCTCAGTCTTTAGCAGCTGTGTCTGTTTTTGGTATGTGAGCAATAACCTCACTCATCTCTAACACCACAAACGCAAAAATACTGACCTCAAGCATGTACTCACTCACATTCAGTATTTTTTTGTCCTGTTGCACATTAAACATATCTCCAAAATAGCCTTAGACCACTAAGGACTCAAGCATTTACCAAGAATGTTGTAATATAAGTATTCTTAGAAAAAAACAACCTTATTCTTATACCTTCTGGGAGACTGAAAAAACAAATGCTAAATATATAAAAAGTTTGGGGGTTTTATGTCATTTATTTCAACAAATATTTGTTTGTCTGATGCAAGACTAAAATGTGGGAAGTGACAGATATTCTTGAAAACCTCAGTAGTATACGTACGGGAAACAGCATGACTCAAAGGAAGTCAGCGGTCATGTCACTTGGTCTCATTGATGTCTCTAATGAGAACAGTGGGCAAAGGTTAGATTAAACTGACTCATTTTTTAACTTTTGATCCATTGTACAGTTAGTTAGTCTGATAGAAAGCCTGTTAGTTCACATGTACAGGTCTTTTCAAGTAGCTAGAGAATAAAGAATGTTAGTAAAATTGAGTGGGTTTTGCTCTAAAAAGCTTTGAGTGGTTTAGAGTCAAAATGTAAAAGTCAAAATGTACAGAAAATTAAAGGTGAAGAAATCTTCAAAATCCTTATGGAGTCTCCAAGTTTAGTTCAAAAGTCTTCCTCTATAGACTCAAAAGAACGTAGACGTGCTTCATAAAGTCAACATGTTTCTAATATAATCTTTATATCTGCCTGCAGCTCCTGCTGTTGTTCTGTGTTAGTCTTCATCAGATGTTAGTCTTGGCAAAAGAAATCATTAGTGTAACTGAATACGGCTGCACTGTGAACACTGACCCCTTTCTAATCAAGAGAGCCCTGCCGGTAAGCCTGAGCATGATTCCTCCTCTCTACTAATCTGAATGAGTCTGGATGGAAGTGCTTCTTTTTCATTTTTATTTCTCAGCATAGAATCAGAAGCTTTCCCTCATTTCTATTCGACTTGTTGTCTCCATGTTATGTACAGTGTAGAGTCTTGTTTCAATTATTGGGAGTTATTTCTTATTTTTGTCAAGCATACTACAGAAGAATCTAATAAAAAATATAATTTGTTTTTCAAAACTGTGCCTAAGAAAAAAGCACTTTGTTGTAGATGCCACTGCAAGAGGTGTGAGTTCCAAGGTTTCGGACCAAACAAGGAATCACCGTGCATATGGCACCGTATCTCAACTCAACATAAAGTCCCTCCAAGCAGGAGAGACTGCATGTTTTGGAGCAGAGGAAAGCAGGTGATGCCAGACCTGCAGCAGAGATAGAAGAATAGAGGTTGGAGTACCCCTACTGAATGAAGGGCACAGTTCTCCTCTGATGAATGGGCTGAGAAACCGGCAAACCTGATGCATCACAGAGCCATTTCTCCCGGACCCACGTTCCAGCTCAAGGAAACCATGTTAAGAATTTCACTTACTGGTAAGAATAGCTTGAAAATTCATTAAACCATCCAATCAATAGTAATAACTGTTGCTGTGTACAAAGGGCAAACAGACTCAATGACTCCACTCTGAGTCTGTTTGCCCTCTGTAAATTTGCAATGTGGCAAAATGGCAAAAGGGCAGTCATGAAAAAAACTGAAAAAATAGGAATCCCTTGAAATGAGAAAAATGTAAATTTCTTAAAAACCAATAATAAGACCAGACGAAAACTAGTCATGAAGGCTTCCAGCATCCTGACAGCACAGTGAACTAGATGTTGAACTTTCTGGCAAGTGCTAATTGTCTCTGTATTTGAGAATGGTGTATCCTCCTAACATCTGGATAAAAATAATATAATGTATTCTTAGAGTTTAATTAGAAAAAAGCCTTTGTGTGGTTATGAGATAATGGTGTGTGATTTACTATCTATAGACATCCTTTAATGTCAGAAAATTAGCAGTTCAGAAACAAACATTCATGCTTATCTTTTAATCAGAGTTGAAAGATCATAAAGAGTTTACCCTGTCTCGATATTTCACCATCCACTCAACAGCTGCTTCCGGGTTGGAGCTCAGCGGTGATGCTCTCTCAGATCCAGACCTCGAGGACTCCGTGCATATGTTTGACTTGGCTCTCATGGAGTCGAAGCTGCACCTGGCCAGCGGCAACACTTCATTACAACCTTCTTTCCAGTCATCTGGATTAAATACTACAAGGATCCCACAGTGAAATCAGACGTTTGTGTGCTTTTTGTCCTTTGGTTCTGTTATGAAATGATCTAAGTGTTCACACATCTGTGCAAGTATTTTACTAAAACCTGTTTTATAAATTTACTCAGGTGGCAGGAATGGCAGGCTGTGGTAAGTAGATTTCACTGGTGGGAGGAGCAAGTAATTACCTGCAAAGAGACCACAGAAGAGCGATGCTAAACACCTGGAATTCAGGTTTATTTCCTGGGCTAACCTGTACAAATTTATCTTTTATTTTGTGGCCTCTTGCTATTAAAGCAAAGGGAAATTTTCAACTTCTTTTTTGTTGCTTCTGCTTTGTTAGATTAACTACCTGTTTTGCATCGATGCTTGAATAAATTTGAGCTAAAATGTGAATAACTATTTATACAATGTGCAGCAAATTGTATAAATAGTTGTTCCTCAATCTGTCCTTTTGACACTGAAAATAGGAGCTAATTCATCCATCTTGTCTGGCTGAGCTGATTATAATTGCATGCGTTAGTGAGGTTAAAAAAAAAAAGGATTGTGGAAGGTGTTGAAATCAATCTTGGTGAGACCTGCAGAGCACTGACATTGAATTTGGAATCCAGTCTGTTTGCCTTTCCTGCTGTTCTGATGAATGGGGCTCTTTCACTTTGCAGCCTTCTGCATTCTCCCCTTTAATTTGACCTAAGGTCTCACAACCACCTCTCCCAGCCTGGCATGTCTTCTAGCCCAGACAGCTTTATTTTCTCCCCAAACTAATCAGAAGTAAGGGTCACATGTTTATCCAAACACACCTGAGAGGAGACCAGCTTTCCCGGCAGCTCTGATTGGATTGTTTGACTGGGCGGTTTGTTGATTGTCTGGCTCAGGAGTAGGAGATTTTTTTTTATATATATATATATTTAGCAAGAGCAGAAATGGTTAGCAAAACTCCACAAAGCTGAAAATGTACCTATAGGATAACAAGAGTAAGCTTATTCTTAGTTTGTGGGGTGATATTGTAATATGTTCTTGAACAAACTCATGCATGCGCTTCTCTCTTTTTTTTTTTTTTCTTTTTTTTTTTAACCAAAGCCTGAAAACTACTCCAGGTGGCTTTAATCAGTCTGTGGACTTGACCTCAGTCTCCCCTGAGACCCTGACATTAGATGTTTTATTGTTAATTTTGCAAAGTAAGTTTTGGGTTCTGAAAAGTGAAATATTTTTTCCCTAATGGCTAACCAATTGGATGTGGTAACAAACTCCTCTGACTTCAAATGTTGATCCAATTCTTTTCCAAAGTGCGGTACACCTTTTAGAAATTCTTCCGCCTTGTGTTTGTTGATGCAATGCTCTCTTTCAGAAAGATCAATTTTCCAGGTCCAAAGTACCAATGTTTTTTAACCAAAGTTGATTAGTTTTTGTTTTGTTTTTCAGGCAAGAGACAAAGCTGATGGAACCCAGACCAGAAGTCTGAAGCTTTCTGAGGCAGTAAATGTTTAGGGTTTGACCAAGCCGGAGATGCTCCTTCTCCAGGTGGTAGTCTGGACCCTCCTCTATTGAATTTCTCACTCTGTCCTAAACTTTCCCTCAGACTTAAGAGTATCCCTCCATTTTCTAAATAGCCAGCTATTCTTGAAGAATTGTGGAGAGGCTGGGAGCGATGTTTTGAGCAGTCATCGGCCAAAAGGCAGGATACACCCTGGAGAGGTCAAAGGCCAGCTCCAAAACACACTAAGGTCAGTCACAGACCAAATGACAGCGTTGTGGTGCTTCCTAAAAACAGACTGAAGATTGTTTAACATTGATTCAAACATAAAAACTTAGAATTAGCTGTATTATTCAGTTAATTCTGTTTTTTATCTGGATTTGAAATCAATTTAAAACGCATAAATTCTGATCTAAACAGAAAGAAATTTGGTTTCCTTTAAAATGTGGTTGAATAACAACGTTAACCAACAGGAGGAAACGCCAACACCACGAACTACATCTCCCATGATGCACCGCAGCGGTTGACGGGGAAATGCATCCTGTACCAGAGTTCAGGTACAGGATGTTTCGGTTTAAACGAGTCTGCGTACCATGTGGCTAGTTTTAGCGACCAAACCCTCGTCCCTGTAGCTTTCTGCTCGTGTTTTCGTTCTGATCATGTCCGTGAACGCATCACAACTGGAGCTGAACCAGCTCATCCACCGCCACTTGAAGGAGCATGGTTTCCTTTCAGCTGCGGAGGAGCTTCAGAGGCACAGCCCACAGGTCAACACGGTGCACACAGTCACAATGCTGCATGGACGAGTAACGTTACTATGGGCAAAAAGTGCGCCAAACTCCGCACAACGCTGCGAACTCACGGAACGCTAATCGGAAGGCGATTCGTGAGGTTTTTGTCTTTGGCGCCCTGCAGAGACCTGTTCAAACTCAGCCCTCCGATGTTTCAGAAGAAATAGTTGCTTTATTTAAAAAAAAAAATGCTTTCTGGCATTAGCGGGTGTCGTAATAATGTCTTACCAGCTGAACGACGCCGGTTCACAAAAGTTGTGCATCATCGGTCGCGTAAATGCAGCCTTTTGGGTGTTCTGCAATGATCATGGGATATTCTGCACAGATAAAATGTACAGTGATTTGCAGGAGCGCTGGTTGGGATGCTGTGATCTGTGCTGTGATCTAGATGGTCCTTGTTGTCGGTCAGTCCTCGGATTGGAGGGTTAAGGAGTCATCATCACTCTGCAACAGAGTGAAAAAACATAACATCCCCCATGAACTCCGAGAGCCAGTGTTTTCTGGCAACTTTAACGTGAAATTGTATAGTTTTTATTAATTGAAGCTTTTTCAAAGAATTGTTCCCGCTAAACAAGTTGATTCCCAAAAAGTGTTTTCTTTGCTTTAGTATTAAAGAACTAAAACTTAAAACTGTGTCATTCAGATACTTAGGGAAATGTTTGAATGTTTTTGAGGCTAATTCTCATAAAAACTTCAGTTTAATTTTTAAAGGTCCCTTTCATCCAATATTTTTCTTCTGATAAAAGTGTACTTGCAGTTGTATAAGACATGTGAACAAAGGAAATCCTTCATGTAATCTTGTTTCAATCGGATCTGCACTGTGCACATTTTTGGGCAGCTTCCTACTAACGTTAAATAGCTGTGTGCATTTACAGTAAAGTTACTGACATGCAGTGCCGGCCCCTAATTGTTGGTACCCCAGAAAAATATGTTTGTCATTGAAATGGCATTATCACACACTAAAATAATAACGCTGCAGTTATGAAGAGTCTTTTACCGTCATTATTGTCTTCCTCATTGAGGAAACCTTGTTCTTGTTCAGCTCTTTTGTTCTGAATTTATAATTCATGATTATTCTGATCCATTGACATTGAAAATCCGAGATGAGTAGCTATTTTTCTGTTTCCTGACTTTCAACCCCATGCCTCGCTTGAATGAAATGTTATTTTCTCTTTCTTGTGTTGAGAAATATTCATTCATTCATTACCCAGAAAGAATGGAAATTGTTTCCCAGACAGTCTGATGAACATAAAAATCTTAACATGCCAGTGAATGTTCTCTAAATTAGGTAAAGTTCATACTAAAACGGAAAATGTGGCATTTAAAAGGCCAGAACTGCAACATTTTGACACAGTGCCATGATTGAGTTCTGTCATAAGCAATAAAATTAAAAAAAGATTTCTTGGTTATTTGAGATCTTCTAGTGTTTGTTTCGATTTTTAATCTATTTAATACAGTAAAGCTAATATAAAAGATTAATTTTGTCAAAATGGAGCTGCAGTTGAGCCTGGCGGTTTAGAACATTATAATATTACACATAATTAATGAATTAAGAAAACGGAGTACTGCGAGAACTGTTTTATTGAAATACCAAGTTTGAAATGCATTTTGTTCAACTGCATTAAATTTGATGTTTAACTTTTTTTTTTATTTCCTACAGGGGGAGTCAAAATCATCAGTCTCTTTATTAGACATCTACAAATCATGGTTAAAGTGAGCCTTTTTTGATCAAATAAACAAAACGATTATCTCAGGAGATTTTTCCTGTTTTGACATGAACTCAAACTGTTTTTACTCCTGACAGGAACCCAAAAAAGAAAAGGAAATCAGAAAAATGCTCGAAATCAGGAAAAAAGTCTCCCTCTAAAGGTGCAACTGTTAGTTTTTTCTTACTGGCATTCCTATTTTGGAAATTAAATGTGGCTAGTATTGATGCTATTATTAAGTATTCAGATCCTTTTTAACATTTTGCCTGCTTGTCATATTAAGGCAAGTCTGCCTCACCAGCGAGGAAGATGGATAAACCAGCTAAAACCTCAGCTTCACCAAAGAAGGTAAAGCTTCCATCTCCTCCTGTGTCACCTCTTCAATATTTTCAATCTTTTTTTTTCTGTTTTTTTTTTTTTTTTTCAGTCTGTTTCAGCAAAAAGAAAAAAAAGTGACGAAAAGCCAAGTCAAAGTGTTAAAGCAAAGAAATCTAAGCCTAACACAACAGAGAACGCCACCAGTGACGGATCAGACTCTGACAGCAGTCTGGATTTAGAGAAGTGGAAGAAATTATCCCACCAGATGACAGGTGGGAGAGTGTTTGTGAAGTTTAGAACGTTTTGGCAATGTGAATATTTTTGCTGTGCGAAAGTATTCCTCCCTGTTGAAAAGTTTCCCATTTTGTCTCGTCACATCTTCATTTTGATTAAACTGTGAAATGGGAGGAATAAAACTTTTTACAAGTAAGAATATGAAAAGTGTGGCATGCATTTATGTTCAGCCTCTCTGGGTCAATGCATTGCAGAAATACAACTTGCGGTGATTACAACTGTAGAGTTTAATGTGACTGCCAGCTTTGAGCATCGGGAGATGAGTTTATCAATTTCTTTTCTGCTAAGTAATTCAACTTCAGTCAGATTGGATGTCTGAAGACATGAATGTGCGTCCATGAATCTTAATCTTGTTGTCATAAAATGTCAAAGTGTATTTGTGGTTGTAGCACTACAAAATCTGAAAAAGTAAATGCAACTCCGGCTGGTGTTTGAATCACTCAGCCAAATTTCTGTTTGCTGTGTCTCTGCAGAGGCCGACTTTGCCAAGATGGAAGCCATCAACGAACTGACCTCTGAATCGCAGCCCAAGAAAAAGAGAAGCCGAAAGCCGCCGGCCAAACCTCTGTCCAAAGCTGACGCTCCCGTCCAGCAAAATGGTGAGACGATTGGACAGAATGAACAGGACGAAGAGAAAGTTGGGACACAAACGCCAACAAAGAAGAATGCAGCAAAAAGGAGCAAGAAAGAAAGTCCATCGCCTGTGTCCTCCCCGAGCAAGCAGAGTCCAAATAAAAGAGTGAAAAGTGTAGAGGACGAGCAGGCTTCGTCCGGACTTCCTGAGAAATTTGAAAAACAAACACATTTACAAGAAATGTTGATCCCTGTGAATGCCAACGAGGAAATGGCAAGTGAAACCAAGATAAAGAAGAAAAAAAAGAAAGCAAAGGAGGAAAATGAGGACAAGACAGAGGGGAGTGCAAATGAGACAAATAGTGATGGAAAAGACAAAAAACAAAAAAGGAGAGAAATCACGGAGCAGGAGGATGATGATGGTCAGACAGAAGGAGAAAAGAGAATAGCTAAAGAGGGAAAGATGGAAGAGGGAGGCAGCGACAATGAGAACTTTTCTGAGTTAAGCGTACAGAAAAAGAAAGCGAAAAAGAAGAAAAAGGACAAATCCAGCAGCGAGGAAGGCTTGGCTCAAATAGACGAAAAGAAGAAAACGATGGTTGTTGGTGAAGAAAATTTTAAACAACCAGATAAAAAAATAAAACCTGGTACACCAAAACCAAAGAAAAAAGAAAATAACAATATGAAGGGTAATTTAGACCATATAAATGAGGCAGAGGAAGAAAGTGGTGAGCAAAACATTGAAGAAATAGAGAATTCTAAGAAAATGGTAACAAAAGAGAAAACCAGTAGTGAGAAATATTTGGCTGAAATGCATAAAAAGAAAGAAAAGAAGAAAAAAGTACTTAACAATGAAGGGTACTCAGAACTGCTAGATTTGAAAGCAAATCCAGAGCAAATCATAAGTATAGATGAAGCTGGAGGCAACAAGAAATGCGAGCAAAACGATCAGGGGAAGAAAGCAAAGAAAAAGAAAGACAAAAGCGTTACGGAGAAAAATTTAGAGCATGAAACGATGGCAGCAGAAGAAAATGTTGAAGACAAATACAATTCAGAGCAAATGGTTGGGGAAAAGAAATCAAAGAAGAAGAAAAGAGAGTCTCTTGGCTGCAAAGAATTCCCAGAGGAAGTAGCTCTAGAAAAGAAAGCAAAAAAGAAGAATCAGAAGTCTGACGAAAATGATTTAGTCGAAGAAGAGAAACCAAAAGATGACGACGATCATACGAACAATAAATCTACTTTAGAGACAGACGAGGGGAGTCTGGAAATCGCAAGTCCTCTGAAAAAAAAGAAAAGTGAGTCATAAGCAGAATGTGATTATGGCAGTGTGCAGGTTTTCTGGGTTTGTTCACCTTGAGCTTCATTTTCTTTCAGAGAAAAACAAATTAAAATCTGACGAGGCTCCAGAGGAAGCTGACATTTCTACACAAAATTCCTCGACAACACAACCTAACTCTGCTGACGTCCACAGAAAGGTACAAATAGCACTCAAGATGAGCACATTGATGAACTCTAAAATGCTCAGTTTCTTTACTGTTCAGTCATGCATGTACAGTGACTAATTATCTGCTATTAATCTTCCACAGAAAAAGAAATCCAAGAGGACAGAGTCATGAATTGACTCCTTAACCCAGTAGAAGCTCAGAATGAAGCTACGCATCATTTCTAACCAGAACTACATGGGTTAAAAAGTCAGCATAAAAAACTTGTAAATAAAATGGACATTTTAATTTTGGTACTATTTGTACTTTTTTAAATAGTTTTTAGGCACTCTGTAGCACATAAAGGTGTGTATTTTCTACATGTCGTGTTTAGTGTCTGATATTTCACCTGGGAGACGTCTACATTAAATTTCTGATCTCAGAGATAACTTCATATGTTGGTTCAAGGACTGCAATTGAAAAAAATGCATCCCTGTACATTTTTACTCATCTGTTGGTTTTATTCACTCCTCTGCCACTAGGATTTTGTGGCCAAGAAAACATCTCAATTATTTTTCCCCTCTTTGTATTCATACATTTTACTGTTTTGTTTTTTTTTTTTTTAACTTTGTCAAAAAATATTATTTTGTTGCAAGTTTTGGTGTACATTGCACATAAATGTTTTACTGCAAAATAAACATAGTTTTGTATCTATAATCTTCCTTCTAGTCCTATGTAGAGCATGCACATAGTAAATTGTTTTAACATTTAATTGCTACAGTATATGTGAAAATTATCCTGTATTTTGTTCTGGTATGTCAGGAATATTGTATAAATTTGTCTCTCTGCCAAAGGCCCTTGGAACTGTCGGGGTGCACAGCATCATGAACCCTGAAATACTGCAGCATTCTTTAAAAATCCAACGAACTATGAAAATGTTAGTGCATTTTAGCCACATAATCATATTTTCTCAAATCAAATATTCCCTTTGTGCATCAAAAGATTAGTTTTATACAATAAAAAATACTTTTTTGCATAAGATTGGTCTTTTACCTTGTTTTTCTTTGCCATTCGTGTCAACAAATCCGTTTGTAGCAATTCAACAGCTTCCAAAAATTTCAAGCGTTGTATTATGTGCGTCCGCTAGGGGGCGACGCAGCCCGTAAAGGGAGGTGAAGCGACAGCAGCAAGCAAGAGTCCCGGATGTCATGACTGCCATGGTTACAGTTTCTGGTTACGCTGAAATGAACTGAGCATCTGACGGAAAGTTTGTTTTTTGTAGTTTTATGCTAAATTGTGTTTTGCTGCCTGTGAAATGTGGAGATTAAATAAAGTTCGCCATAAAGCCGGTGGGCATGCTAACAACCAGGAGGAGCTCAGGACGAAGAGGAGAGAAAAAGAAAGAGGTAAGACTTTAGGAAGTGGGTAACCCAGCTGTCAGTGGGTGCATGGAAACCCCAGTACAACCAAACATACTCAATTTGATTTAAGAAGAGAAGCCGCTACACCTAACAAAGTGCTCGTCAGCAGGTTTGGCCTCCTTATTAATGGAGATATTTGGAGAGTTTGCTGATCTTCGCAGGCTATAAGATACCAGGAAGGAAAGCTATCAATAGCATTAAAGATAACTCGTGTTGCTCGTCATGATTATGTCATAAACACAAATGCGTTTCTACAGTTCTTCATATAGAAACACCACTTTAACTTCTCTTTTCTGTGTTTGTTTCCATGCATCTTCAGTCTTGTGTTGCTCATTGTTGAACATGTTATCTTCATGTGCTTCCTTCTTGTGTGGTACTTAATAACTAAAGATTGATTGACCTGAGGAGGGTTTGAAGCAATTTTCAAACGAGTCCATAATTCCGCAGTGGAAAGAATTGCTTACAAGTAGCAACATTTGAACAGTGGCTAATCTTGCCACTCCAAGTAAATACCATCCCACCAATATCAAAGCAATGTTGAGAAATTACAAAAAGCCTAAGAGCTCAATCTCAGGCTCTGCACGGCTTCATTATCTGTCGCACCTTGCAATAATCGACGATACTATGATGCTGTGAAAGATAAATGTTGTTACAAACATGCCCCTACACTGGACAAAAATCCTTAACACTGAACAGAAAATAATGAAGGTGTTGCAGTGGCTTAGTCAAAGTCCAAACACGAACTTCATTGAAAATTTTGTTAACCTCAATGTTTTTTAGCTTTTGTTTTAATTCATGTAAAATGTGGTAAGCATCTGAAAACTGATAGCAGTTTTCAGTTTTAAAGCATCTGAAAACGGCTTTAAAACTCAAATAACTTGAGTTTTAAAGCATTGTGGGGGTCTTGCTGTCCTTTCTGCTTCAGCACTGAGGCAAGCTCGCAGAGACAGACAACTTGTGAGCAAGAGGCTCCTTCTTAATGAAGATGAAGAACAGGACACCATGGAGGTTACACCTGGGGAACAGGTAAGTTTCATTAGATCTGATTGATTATTTTCCCCTAGTTTGACAATATAACAACATACAGATTTTCTTCCTCCCCAGGATTTGGTCAACTTGTTCCAAAAACTTCAACATGGGGGCACAGAAAAAGAGGCCTTCTTAAGACCCTTGAGTAAAGCTCTGCGTAATCCATCAGCTCAACTCACCTTCATTAAGTATGGTTTTAACGTCCATCACCATAAAAAGTGAGTTCAGTCGATTTCACCTGTGATGAACTGTGTGTGCGGATGTGTCCTATCAGGCTGGAGAACAGCATGCACCTGCTGGTCGGCCTCCTCACCGGCTCTGACGCCCGCTGCCGTCTGCAAGCCGTTCGCTGTCTTCATGAGCTCTCTCACTCCACCCACACCAGCGTTGCATCCGCCTGTCTGCCCGCCACTCCCTACCTGCTCACATACCTATCAGGGCAGAGCACCAAGTTCACAGTGGGTCTTCACTCATCTCACATGTTCATTATTAGTAGCATCATGTTATTAAAGAGACAGTTTTTAGCTTAGAGTTTGTGAATGTTTCTATCTGCACAGGAGCTGTGTCTGTACACACTGGGGAATATATGCCCGGACAGCGAGAGGGTAAAAGAGAGGCTTCTGGCCCAGGGAATCATCCCAGCACTGGCCAGCTGTATACAGGTAAGCTATAACTTGCGATGGAAAAGTAACTGCATCTGGAGTAATTTCTGTTTATATGTTTGTGCAAAAACTTTAAGAGCATCAAACCACATTTGGGGAAAAAAAAAGAACAAAAAGAATAATATGAAAAATTCTATCTGCGATTGAACAAGAAAGAGCTTTACAATACATAATTTTGAAATCGATAGTTATTGCTTTGCATCAATAACTATTCAGGTGTTATTTTTGTTAGATTTTGGATCAGTGACATAATTAGAGACTTTGGAAAAGTCTGGAACTTGCTTTTATCGTTTAACTTTCCAACTCTGGAAAAGCGAGGCAACATTTACTTTTTTTTAAAAAAATTTCCTTCATTCATTTTTTTCTTAATTGTATGACTTGCAAATAAATTTCAAAATAATATATTTTTCTCCAATGAAGAAGAAAATAGGTTTTCAAAACCCTCTAAAAGTAATAATAATGTTTGTTTTTTGTTTTTCAAACAGAGTTAAAGTGTAAACAATTGCAGTGTGAGATTTAAAGAATAAGCATTTAGAGTTTCCTAATGTAGTCTGGAGTAGGCAAATAGAAGTGGTATATATTTTAATGTTGCCATAAATAAACCAGTTTTCTTTGCAAAATTGATCACGTTGTTTCAAATTTAATAGGTAAATGTTTTAATATTTAAAGTTCTGTAAAATCTCTGAAATTTAAATTTGAATGTGTAATAAAAAATCTGTTTTTATTTTGCATTTCAGAACCACAGACATAACCTGGCAGTGATGGAAGCTGCAGGCTTCGCCCTCTTTCAGCTTCTGCAGAGCAAAGATGCAGCGCTGAAAGTTATCCCGTCAGTACACTCAGGGCATCAGTTTCCTCTTGGAAAATTACATGTTCTGAACAACAGTATCTTTAACACATCTGTAAGTTCTGAGTAACTTTACTGTGTGTTTGCAGGGCAGTTTTGGCCTCCAGTTTACCTTCACAGCTGCTATCAGTTCTGACCCCTGATCCTGATTTTGGTCTGGCTCCAGCTATAGAGTGTGCATGGTGTCTGCACTCCCTCACATCCAGGTGAAAGCTTTGATATTCAGACACTGTTGTTTTGTTTGTTTGTTTTTTATCTTTGCATATTTGTTCTTACTTGTGGTAATATTTGTTTTCTGTCTTTTCTCAAAATTGCATTTAGCAGCTCTGAGGATCACAGAGAGCTGTTGGCGCTAGGGGCCTTGAGGCAGTGCGGTTCCTTGTTAGTGTCACTAGGTGGTGCTGTGGCTGCTGGAAACACTCACCAAGGCATGGAGCTGGTGTGTAAATTCTTACTTTTAGGCTTTTATGCTTGTCACTTTATATTGGTTTCTTTGAATGTTATTTTTTACCTTTTATCCTATTAGTTTAATTGAAAATGTGCATCATGGTCTTTCTTGCATGTCAGTTAAAAAACAGATTTAAAGTATTTTTTTTTTTATCATATTCAAGTGTATTCAAGTTTGTGCCATGATAACTGATGAGTCAAAAAATATCCTTCGTAGCTCGTGTGTCCCTTGCTGAGGTGCGTTGGAAACCTCTTGTCGTCCTGCCCTGCAGAAGCTCTCCACTCTCAGCTGGTTGGTGCTGATCTGGTGGCGCCGCTATGTGAACTTGTTGTTGGCCTTATCCACACTCTGCCGGCCCTGGCCAGAGAGATAGCCTGGGTCCTCAACAACCTCACAGGTATGAGTCGTCTCCAATCTCAACCACTGTGACTACAAGTTAAGTTCTTGTAACTGGTTAAGTTTTGAGCAGGAACAAATTGTCTTTAACAAAATATTTTCTGCAAGTTTCTAAGTTCATCTGAGGTTAATATCATCACAGTATAATTACAGTAGGCTTCAGATGTTGTTGAATAAACAGCTTCACGAAGACAAAGTAACACAGCAGACAGGTCGGAGATGAAGTGGTGGAGAACTTTAAAGCATGGGTTTGCTATTTTACTTTTTTCTAAGCTTTAACATCTCTGGGAGCATTGTTTAATCATCTACAAAAATGGAAGGAGAATGGCCTGACTGTGATCCTATCAAGACATGGTCATCCTCATAAAATGAGAAGCCTGACAGGGAGAACATTAGCGATGCAGTCAGATGTGTAAAGGAGCTGCCCAGCTCTACATATCATGTAGGAGAGTCTGTTGATATGACAACTGTGAATTGTCCACACCTCAAATCTGGCCTTTACGAGAGTAAGGAAAGAAGAAATCTGTTATTTAAAAAGCCACAGAAAGTTCAGTATTCAGTTTCACACGAAAAATAACACTCACCCCTTGCATCATCCTTAATGTAGAAACATGAGGGTGTCAACATCATGCGGTGAGGAAATTTTCATCACAAGGGACAGGAGTCATAGTCGGGGTCCACCAAAGTCATACATGCCACACTTTACAGATTTTTAATTGTAAAGAAAATGAAATGCACCTATCATTGTGATGTTTTATTTTCTTAGTTACTTAGTTGAAATCCATACAAAATACATTTGAGCTTGAGATTGTAATGTGACAATGTGCAAAACCTTTGCAAAAACAGTAGACTAAGCAAAAAAATCCATATTTCCTAAGATCTAAGTAGTTGTAAATAACCAAGCACCGGATGTTGTGAAAGAGAAGAAATGTGTCCTATTATACTTCACACATCTGAATGTATTTAATCACTTGCATTGTGAGCAAGAAATTATTATAAATGCTTGGAATGGTTCAGAAGCAGGAACTCCTGTAATTGTTAATCAGTTTTAATCTGTGTTTTTCTCTCCTCTCTGTTCCAGCCCACTCCACAGAATCTTGTTCTGCTCTCTTAACTTTAAACTTGGTGCCTAGACTGTTGGAGCTTCTATCTTTTTCTAAAGGCATTAACACTATGGTCAGCAAAAACTACAGCTCTCCTCTATACCTATAGCTGATATTTATTGTGCCTTCTCCTTTATGTCTAACACATATCATACATTGTGTGTGTTACATTTAGGTTCTAAGGGTTTTAGCAAATGTTGCCCACAAGAAAAAGGAATTCTGCATCCAGCTGGCAGAGCTTGGACTGCTGTCTGCCCTCACTGCTACTCTAAAAATGGCCGACCAAGACATGGTGACTCTGAGTCTGGAAGTCTTGTTCATGATGATTGTTAGCTCTCCGCAGGTATGCAGGGCCTAATAAGATGCTAAAACAATTCACATTTGCTAAGCTGCTATAACAGTGTTTGCCTTTGTTAAATAACCCTGTTATTCCTTCCAGATAGCAGAGCAGTTTGTCAGCCAAGGTGGACTTTCAGTTTTAGAAGCCATTCAGTACAACAGCGATGGAGAGGTGAGGCGAAGGGCAGCATACCTCCTGGAGCAGCACGTATTCAACGAAAAATAGTATGAAATGACCTTATTTACTTTGACTTGCTTATATTTGTTGACTTTAGGAATTACATCATAACAATATAAGCTTTTGTGTTGCAGATGAAAAAACGTTACTGGTTCACCGGACCCAATCCTAGGACAACTTAAAGAAAAGGAAGGCTTGTTTTATATTCTACAACCTCTATAATGCTATCAAATGGTTGCACTTACATTTTAAGTGTAGATTTTTAATGTATTTTTTTCTAAATGATGAATTGTACACACTTGCTTTTTTGTTCTGCACAATTTGTCAAATCCATGAAGATTTGACAAAATCTCATACGTAGTTTATGAAATTAGCTTTTTCTACTATGGGTTTCTGTGCTGGTACAGTATACTCAGTGTAATGTGTCTACATGCCCAGTTAGCAATGTACCAACCATTATATTTTCATATCATAAAAAAGATAAAATATTTGAGTAAATTGTAATAAAAGTGAAACTAAACTTTTTCTATTGATTTATTGCTCCCAAACTGATATGTTTCTATAATTTATATCTGTTAATTTTGTTAACTGTGGTTTACAGCTTATGAAAACCCCACATCCGGTTTCTCAGAATATTACACAAGACCAACAATTTTTAATATTGAAATGTTTTGTGATGGACATATCACTGTGTTTGTGCTCATGGAGGAAAATGGCTGCTTGGACACTGTGAGCAGTCATTGGCTTCCTCCATCAGGCAGCCAAGCCACAAAAGTGCATTATTAAAGAAGTTTGGAAAATTGAGTAGAAGGTAAAAGTGTAGTTAAAAAGAGGTGGACAGACAACTGGGCTATAAAGAGTTTAATAAGCAAAAGATTTTGAGGGAAATTCACACTGTGTGTACGACTCAAATCAGATCTTTATGCACAACCACACAGATTTCCAAGATCTCAGATACAAGCAGGGCCGGCCCAAGCCTCCACGGGGCCCTAAGCAAGATTTGGTTTTGGGGCCCTCTAGTTCTGCTAACAATGTGGACTGGCTGGAATCAGCAGTCCGAACATTAGATCATTCACACACCTACATCTCTGGCAGTGCTGTTTAAATTATATACATGTAAAATATAGTACACATTTACTGGCCAACTGATATCTGGGCGCCGATTTTCTTGATTTTGGGGGATCGTGATCGACCAATATTTACATGTGAAGCCCATCTTATCTTCGTCAGTAAAGGTGTCCTGCGTTTTGAAGCCAAAAATACCTCAGAAATTTACAGAGCCAACCATGAGAATTAACTCATTTCAAGTTTACATTCAATTTCACATAAACACAAAGACCATAGCATAAATGTTTGGCTGTTGAACTGGACCGTTCAAGCTAGTTTTCTATTAGAAGCTTTACAAATCTTTTACATTTCATTGCCAAGCCAAGATAAATAAACCTTTATCTTGGCTTTTTCTATTCTTCCTCTTTCTTTTCTCCCTCCCTGAAGGATAAGTCCTTTTTGAGACATTACGTTGCTTCTGGTCTGAGCTTTGGATGCTCTGGACATTGTATGGCAGCTCATGTTACCGGTAAAGCGTGCAGTATCTACCACAGCCACCAGGGGCCTCCAAAAGCTTTTTTTTTTCTTTTCTTTTTGTCCATAAAATAATGATTTCTGCATACATTATCAAATATATATTATTGTAAAAATAAATCCTTTCATAGTGAAATTTGTTTTTTTTATATATATTGTAATATAAAAATTAGGGGGCCCTTCAGTGGCTTTGGCTTAGTTTGCTTATGTATTGGGCCGGCCCTGGATACAACTGCGGTATTCCTTCTGTTATTCCACTCCAGATTATAAAATAACGAGTTGCCCAAAGGAGAACAGGGACTGAACTGTTGCGTGATCTCAAGAAATTCCTGAAAAGCTTTTCAATGAGCTCCCATTTTAAGTGATTTGTGTAAGAGAAAACTGCAAAAACTGTGGTTTAAGCACATCATTAAGGACTTTTAAAATAGTTTTGTGTGCATAGGGATCTTTAATCTGACTGCATTTGTATTTCATTTTGTAAAACCTTTGGCGTCAACAAAATAAAAAAAACGACATTTTCACACACGCAAAAAAATCAAAAGTGATGTCTGCCTTTAGAGTTTCAGAGTTTTAGTTTGTTAGCCCTTAGAGAAAAATACACCAGAATTTCACTCTTCCTCTTTTTATTCACAAGAATTCCTTCTTGTAGTTTCATGTTACTAATTCACACACACAAAAAACTTTGAGTTAGTATCTGCATTGCTCTCATATCTATGAGACAGTTTTCAATCTTTTCCAGTAGCAGAAACCGAACATTCACACAAGCTGTATAAAAATACATGTAACTTTTTTTCCTCGCTGTCTCACAGTTATACCAGAATTAGTTATATTTTCTAAATACCAGAAGAATGAGTAAGAGTAAGAAAACTGTGTATAAAGGCAATTTCTACATAAATCTGTAAGGCCTTTTACTTTGGTGTAGTGTGCATCAGATACCAATTTCAGAGCAATAACCCATGTACAACATAGCCATGTTTTTCTTGGAGCACTCAAAAACATTGACTTCACATGTGAATTAGCTACAAACTTAATTTGGGCTCAACTATAATAATACCGTTGGGGGTTTTTCTCAGTTTGTTTTTTGCCACCCAGGTAGTGAGCCATGTTAATCTAATTTAAAATTATCAATGTTTACTGGATAAAAGCCTTAACAAGCTGTGATATAATCAGGATGTGTTTTTTTCCAGCATGTAGACTTACAGTTAGTAATTTGTCAGAGTAACTTGTGTGTTCCCTTTCATTCTTTCTTGATTTTATTTTGCAATAGATTCTTTCTCTTCATTCCAGCAAGCACAAAATTCTTTTTTTTCCCTTAAATAAAAAGAAAACATTGGTGCTTTTTTTTTTCTCCTTTTGTTGTACAGTATATTTTTCTGCACAGCTAAAACAAATCCACTGCAACTATCTGTTTGACAGCATCGGCCTTGAATTAATATTTTAGTCACAAAATTAAGATACTATAGATTATCTAGTAATCACCATATTGTAATGTTACAAACATGTTTTTAGTCTCTCATGATGTAAAGTTTTTTTGTTTTACTTGTTTAATCCACACAAAATATAAGAAAATTAAACAAAATGTATTTATTTACTGGGTTGTAATTTTGACTGTTGTGATCTCACATACTGTTCAGGCTGTGCAACTCCCTTTGCAGTGAACGGTATTAAGCCCCTCCTCTTGTTGGAAAACAAAAGGAGAAGAAATCAAATTTCTTGATTTCCTCTGGTGACCAACAACATCCCCTTCCTGTCGTCTTACGCACCACGTCTTACATGAAACTCTTGGTGAGTTACTTTGTGTTTTGTATCACAATTCATGCATTCTTTGTGGCTTTTTATCACTGTTCTGTGCGTAGTGGGTGTCGGATTTCGTTTTCCTGCCTTTACAGTATTTCCACGCTGGAGGAGTATGCACAAGACCAGTGTACAACAAATTCTTGCTCTCTTTCCGCTACAGTGCAGCACAGTTGCGTAATAGCTTGGTAATGGAGGAAATCGGGTCAACTGTGGCAGAGAAACCAACAGGAGAAAATGAGAATCAGAAGTTAGATGAGTCTCTGTTGTTGTCCAGCAAACCTCTGCACCGTTTTGTCCGAAAACAACCCAGAAGCTTTGGGGTAAATTCAACTCATGAAGAAACAGGGAGGGTGTAAATTCATGTTCAAATGCACACAATGAATATATTTTTGTTTGGAATTTTTCAGATTGTGATTCTGATGTTTGGTTTTGCTGAGGTTGTGATGGGATGTGCAATGGCTGATAATGTCATGGAAAACTCATTCAAAATATATATTCCCTTCTGGCAAGGAACTCTGGTATGTATGTTTTTAAATGCTAAAACTCAAGACTCTTAGTTGTTTCTAGAACATTCAATTAAAAAAAAAAACTAATTCCCTGTTTCTAGTTTACCTTACCATAGACAAAGAAAATAGAAGGAAACTCCTGACCAAGCTTTGTTCACTGCTAACTCAGCAAAACATATAATTTGGACCTCATGTATTGAGCAATTACCGTTGCTACTTCCATTTTATGCATTTTTCATAGAATACAAAATGGGGGAAATGTTTTTATTTTGGATCTGACAGTTACATGACAGCAAAGGAGTAATATGTCAAACATGATGTCACAAAATCTGGCATTGTTTTGAAATACTTTCTTTGTTTTGTTTTGAAGTATTTAATAATCAGTTCATTCTTCTTCTTTTTTTTTTTTACCTGAATTTTCTGATAAATATATTTTTTTGTGTCGTGCTCAAACAGGTTAGCCAACCAGCATTTCAAAATTAGCACTTTTTTACATTCTTTGTGGTACATATATATAAAGTCCACTGTGATACAGGGTTGCCCATTTTGGAGAGGAGCTTGGAAAAATCAGAAATCAAAGCAAAAATTGTGCACCTTATTTTTAAACGAAGCAATTTTGAATTAATTTTTTAATTGAAATAAATGCTTAATGGATGTACAAATTTCAGCTGTAGTATTGTGGCAAGAAAAATAAATGGCATCAGATTTTTGAGGTGCCTTAAACCTTCACATCCATGCAAGCTTTTCATGAATGTCATTTTAGGACAAATATGTGTCTAGAAACGCTACTTACTATTTAGTGCCTTCATCATTTTGTACATTTGTAATTTTAGTCCCTTTGTGTTCAAATACCATTTGATTGAATTAATAGAATACAATAGAAAATAGAAACAGCCCTTATTGTCCAGCAAAGGGGAAACTCAGGTGTATTTGCAGCATCAGTTACAAATGTTCTCAAAGGAAGTTCTTAAAGTGATTTATTTATTTATTTATTTATTTATTTATTTATTTATTTATTTAATGGGCTATGTCAACTTTTGATCCAGCAGATGGCGCCCTTGACATATAAACAGACACGTTGCGCTTTAATATTGAATTATCTACAATACATCTGTAGACATGAGCTCATCATTACCTCATACTTTGAAAAAACACAAAAGAAAAAAATCCTTAAAGCGAAATTTCCTCCTTGAGATGCAAAGTAAGAAAGAAACCTCTTGTCCAGTTAAAGTAAATGTGCACAGCACAGCTGCTGCATGACCCAACTACTTCAGGAAACCATAGATGTAACTCACCTGTTTAGTGCAAAAGCATCTATCATTACATAACATGGTTATGGATGTGACTGGAGAAATAATTGTGTATTAATACATTTGAGCTGAAAATGATTGGATCTTTTGATTGAAGTGGATGTTTGTATTTGAAGTTCATTACATGTGGAGTCCTGTCTATCTACACTGAGTTACGTCCGTCCAAGAAGATGGTAAGCCTGTTGATTTCTTTAAATCCCTCGTCTTGAGATCTAAAAACACTTTTGTCCAACTTTATTACAGACCATGCAATCGTTCTTAATTAAACTTTTCTTATATTATCTTTGTAATCTGACTGCACAGGTGACCGTATCCCTGGCCATGTATGTGGTCTCTCTGTTGGGCATTATTGTCAGCATTATACGAAGGATAGGCTTAATCGTTTTCTACACATGGCATTTAACCCACTACCAAGTGGTGAGAGTCATTTTTACTTTCTTCTTCCTTTCTCTTTGCTATAATGTTTGTCTGTGTGGATAAAACTCCCATTTCGTATTTCACAGCTATTTTTTTAACCGTAGGTGCTATTTCTTTGGGTGGAAGGAATCTTGTTTGCATCTTCTCTACTTGTATTAGCATTTCTCATCTTCTTGAGCGCCATCGCAGGTTATGCATTAAGATCTACGAGAAGTCAGGTAATATGTTCTTCAATGTGTCATTTCAAAAATGAAAAGTTGAAATTAATGTTCTTTCTTTTATTGCTGAGCCTCTGCGGAGTAGCTAACAACGAGTGGAGTGTAATACTTCAAAAGATGATAACCTTTTGGAAAATGAAAATTAGTCATAATGGTCACTTGCACAAGATACTGACAATTTGAAGCACCATGGCCTGAGTTCAGATTTAAACTGAGAGTAATTATGAAAGAGAGTATTTGGCTCTAATCAAAGTTTAAACAAAAAGCTTTAACATGACAGACGTCTAGTTAACCTTATAACAGCTCAAAACCACTAAAACGAGATAGAATATCCATCTGAGGCAGTGGAAGGAAATACTTTGTGTGCACTGAAAATGTTTTCACTGTAGCTTAATTTAAAGTACAAGAAGACCAACTACATCACACTATAAGTTACTAGTTAGTAAATTGTTTAACAGTCAGTATTGTGATTATGTGATTCCATTTTAAATGATCCATTTTGAGTTATTGCTGAACTCAGTTAATCCAATCCAGTCAAATTTTGTAGTATTTAAAATACACACCATTACTTTTTAGTAGAGAACAATTTACATCTTCTTATATAAAGAGAAAACCTTTTATTTATTTTATTTGTACCTTGGTTTATGAAAATACATTCTAATGCAATGGATTTATTTGCCTGTGCAATTATGTACATTCATTCTAATGTAAATGCACCATTTTCTGATTCTGTGCAACCTAATATGAAAACGTTTTGCATCTTTTTTAAGCAGTAAACAATTTGCATCACAACAATTTATCAATTCACAAATAAGAAACCGTATGCATTTTGCAAGAGATTTATTTTTATTTTTACAGTGGCATCTTCTAGAATATTGAATTACATGAACTGGATTTTGTATAAAATAAACCCTAAAATGATTTTTAAATCTGCCAAATGTCTAAATTACAGCCCTTAGAGTCTACAGTCTACATTTTGGAAAATTATATATATTTTATTTCAATTAATAGGGAAGTACAATTTCCATCTGTACACAATGATGTAAACAATTTGTCAAAAAAAATTACTGACATTTATTAGACTATCGCAAATAAAAGAAAGAACAAACTTAACAGAATTGTGATAACATAGTTTGTCACAATGCTTTCTGTCAGCTATTGAGTTTTTATCTCTCATTCATTCATGTTTTTGTTTTCAGATTATTGTCCAGCACTTTGTGATGCATCCTCAGAGTGAACAAAAATCGAACTAGGACCAATGTTCTTCAATACTATTCTACAATCACCCAACACTGTTTTGTTCATTTTAGATGTTTTCATCAATTATGTCATACACTGTATATGTTTCACACGTATTTCAAACTGCTAGGCAACATGAGATAAATATCTTCTGAGCGTTATATTTTAATTGCTGAAGAGGTCACATGGTGCAAATCAGTTTTTAAATAAAAAGTGACAAACTCCTTACTCCTCATTTAATGTGATGTATATCGAGTATTCATACTCCTTAAACATTTCTGTAATAAGTCACACTAAAAATTCAACATCCAATGTACTGAATTGGGTTTTCTTTTTTAAATGAACATAAACAAAGTAACACACAACTCTGAACGGAACCAGCGTTGTACATTTAGAGCCAGAGTTGCATACTTTGTGTAAAAAGACACCATCTCAGTCTATGAAGAAGGTGAATTAACTGACTGTCTGTGAACATAGATTGTCAAGTTTTACTTCAGATTCCTAGTTGGATTAGGTCAGAACATTTGGCCGTTCTTGCACATCAATATCTTTTGGTAAAATCCATTCTATTGTAGCCATAGCTGTATATTAGAGTGGGTGTTGGAAGGGAAGGTGGCTTCGTATTTAATTACATCAATATTACCATCAACTTTTATCATCTTCCCTGACTACTAGTTGTCTTTTGAACTTGAGCTGTAGATATCTGAATCTTCTTCATAGTTACCAGTTTTGATGGACAGCCATATTTTGGTTGCTTTCTTTCCATTTTTAGGGATATGAAGGTGGACTCATTGAAAATTAGGTCATTTCTGAAAAAAGCTAGTTCTTTTGGATTTTATTGAAGGTTTAAAAGTCGGGTATCTTCTTCCACATTCTAATTATGCATAGCATTGTGTTATGTTGGCCATTCTTTTTGCTACCATCATGGCTACCATCTTTTTTCTTTGGCTTTTGGCACAATCTGAGATGTTTCACTTTGTTTTATTGTGTTTGTATATTGATTTTATATTCAATCTTTTCTATTTTATAATTGCATTGTATTTTCTGATTGTACATAGCACTTTGGTCCTGTCGGTGTATTAAGTGCTTCATGAATAAAGTTGGTACGGTATGTTGATATATCACAAATAATACAAAATAAACAGAGGCTTATGGTTGTAACATGCCAAAAACCTAAGAAGGTTCAAGGGGTATAAATACTCTTGGAAGAGGAAGTTAATCCCAGATGAGATTTTTACAGCACCTGCACCAAGTTAGAAAAATGAAACTTTTTCATTGTATCAAAATTTAACCTGCAAAATTATCATGTCAGTAATATCAGATTAACAATATATTTTCTTTTATTAAATATTATTAGTTAAGTGTTTATTCACTGCTGTTAACCACTTGCTTTAGTTTTTAATCATGCAAAAATTTGAACAACTGGTATGGTGACCAGCCTCACATTTTTAATCAGATTATTTTTGTTTTAACTGTGAATTAACTTTATTGCATTAACTGACTTTGAAATTTTTGCTTAAATAAATTTGGCTTACAAGTACACAAATGTATAAAAAATAAATAAATGAAATAAAATATGCATCAGCATGTTTTTGCATCATTTTTGCATCTGTATTGTGCAATGTAAATTTACAGTAGATATCCCTAACAGTCGTCATACCTTCGAAAAAAAAAAAGAAATATAATAGTATCTAACTTTATCGAGTAATAGTTCTGGGTCTAAAATTTGGAGAACCAAAAAGATAGTCAAAAAGCCACATATTTTGAAATTTTCTGTTTATTTCCCTTAGATGTAATCAACTTTTATCAACAATAGCTCAACATGAGGCTGGAGATCCTCTCATGTTATAGGTGATGCAGGGGGACATCAACATTTGGGCCAGGTGTATTTTTTTTGTGTGTGTGTGTGTTTGTAGTATTTAGTAGACGTAGCTGGCAGTGTAAAGGGACTGCATGGCAGCCTGGCTGGCTGGGGTGGCAGGCTTGTACTCTCCTTTGGAGGCCAGGCCATTGATCTAAAGGGAGCAGAGGAGAGGAGAAAGGGCAAAGTCAAACAGTAGCGTTAATGATCAGCCAAGTTGCATGCGTCACCTGAGTGCAAGACTGAACGGACAAAAAGCTTTGAGAAATCAATCATTTACAAAACTGTAAAATTGAGTAATTCCTGATAAGAAATATTTCAAGTCCAGGATGGCTAATTGATGATTGTGAACTTATCAATGGCTTCCTGTCTGTCTGAGGCTCACCTTGGCCCTGGTGAAGAAAGCCTCCTGCGCAGCTTTCTTGTTGGCATCTTTGCCCACCCAGGCTGCAAGAGCAGAGGCCTGGAGTGCTCGGCCGTAAGAGAAGGTCAGCTTCCAGGGGCGGTGGAGGGGAACTTGGTTGATTGCGTTCAGGTTGAGAGAGGCCTCCTCCTCACTCTGGCCTCCAGAAAGGAAGCAGATGCCTGAAAAGGTTGCACAAAAGAAGCACAATTTACAGTTACATTTTTAAAGTGAGGTTTATTTAAATGTTACAAACAGTTAATATTTTTCCAGGAGAAGGCAACTCTCCATCAGGAGCCTGTTGTTTTACTTCCATCAGTTATTTCTATGAGAAAACCCTTGGTGGTGCACCTATTTCTATCTACCTACAAGGTGAAAATAATAATTTTCTTCTCTATAAATAAAAATGTAATCTAAACCTAACAACTAGTTTCAACTAATCTGGATTTAGACCAAATCAGAGAGAAAGAGACATCTCTTGCTCCTAACTGTTTACTAGAACCTCACTTCATAAATCCTAAAATATTCCTTTAACCTGATTCCTTGTGGTTGCAGGAATCGGCAGCACAAGGCTTACCTGGCACAGCAGCGGGTACAGTGCGCCTCAGGGTGGTTACTGTTGCCAACGCGACATCCTGAGGGGTGTATTTCTTAGTGCAGGAGTGTCCAGCGGTGACCATGTTGGGTTTCAGCAGAGTTCCTTCCAAATACACATGGTGGTCATTGAGAGCCTTGTACACAGCAGCCAGGACCTGCAGATAAATGCATACACATAAACAAGAATGGGCATTGATAGCATTTAATTATTATAAAGTTGGTGTGCTTTGTATTATACTAACCTTCTCTGAGACATACTGGCAGCGTTGCAGGTCATGGTCACCATCAGGCAGGATCTCTGGCTCCACGATGGGCACCAGGCCATTCTGGAGAAGACAGGGTCAAAACTAATGACATCTAGTTTCTTCATCTGCTGTCCGTTACTGCGGCTAAAACTGTGACACAGACCTGTTGGCATATGCTGGCATATCTGGCAAGAACATTGGCATTCTCTGCAATGGCGAGAGCTGACGGGCAGCCATCTGAGATCTTCAGCACACACCTCCACTTGGCGAAGTCGCAGCCGTCCTTCTTGTACTGGGCGCACCGTTCTGAGAGGCCATCAAGACCTAAAAAGACACAAAACATCTCACTCTGAATCGTTTTTTAGAAATACGCAAAGAATATTTTACATATGTGTTAATGGCAGTCACCTTGGGTGGTGGTCTCTCCATCTGTTCCATTCAGACCAGCTGTGCCTTTGTCTACCTATACCAATCAATCACCAAAGAGTAAGTATGTCTAAAAACTGTCAACACTCTTATTAACAGTCTTAGAAGTTTGCATGAAGGTCTTTTCACCTTGATCCCGACAACAATCCCCTTCTCCTTGACAACCTGGGGGAAGAGCTTGCCGCTGTCTGACTTCTGGTAGAGCGTCTCGTGGAAGAAGATGACCCCACCGATGCTGTTGGCAATGGAGGGGTCGGTTGAGAAAAGGATCTCCCGGAAGCAGCGGCGGTTCTCCTCTGTGTTCTCCACATTGATTTTCTGCAGCCTCTTCGCCATGGTGCCTTGAGGAAAAGAGGGTATATTTTCAGTCGCACATGACCAACTCGCAGTCGCTCCCTGTGGCAGAACAACAACCGAGACCGAGACTAACCTGTTGATTCGTCCGCAGCCAGGATTCCCTTTCCTGGAGCGACGATCCTCTGAGCAATGTCAGAGAGCTCCTTCTTCTGCTCCGGAGAGAGGGCTGGGAACTGATGAGTCATCCTTGAAGAACCATATCGGATTATTAAAATCAACTGAAATTTTTACAACGAGAGAGGAAAATGCCCTGCATTTTCAAATATTATGGCAAATGCCTGCTATTTCACATCCTGTTTTTCTTGCCCCACCTCTCCAGTTAAATATTTGGTCTGCATGGTTGAACTTAGGCCTTCAAAACAGATACGTTATTCTGTTCAGACGTGCAACCTGAGGTCATAGTTCACTTTGCACCAGGTTGAGCAACGCTTTTTCTGCAGCGCAATGAAAGAAAAACAAGGCACCACAACTAGGATCTTGATGATAATTTACACGGAGTACAATAGCTTCCGCCAAATTACATTTGCGCAAATACGTTTGCACTTGATTTACTTTCATTTAACACCATGTCAGAAAAAAAAAACATCGATGCAAATTTAGATTTGAAAAGAAATAAAAACATTTCTGTTTATTAGCAGTTGAAACTAGTCAACAACATCCCACCTCTACCAGCCTGTAAACATGTGCAAAGTCGCATGCAGACCAAACCCACTTTTATGTAGCCTCGCTGCAGAAACTAGTCACGTTCTGAACAATCCTCACAAATTTCTCATTCGACCGAATAAAAACGAATCTCACTTGAGTGTTTTGTCAAACTGCGACGACAGCTGAAGTGACAGGCGGCCTCCTTTCTCCTCCCAGGGATGATCACGATGGTGATGAAGAAGGCAGAAAGTGGGTGAAGAGTTGTATTTATTCCTGTTGAGGGTGGGTGTGGGGGGGGGGTGCTCATGATGTGGCGGCGGGCGGGCCGGGGGAGGAGGGTGTCACAGTGGAGACCCAATTGGCCCCCGCTAAAAACCCATAAAGGCGGGATTCATGATGATGTCGATCTGCTTCTGTGGACTTTACAGTTCATCGCGGAGCCTGGGATTGAGTTTGGGGGGAAAACGTGAAGAAGAGCATTGTGTGAGTGTATAGTCAAAGTCTGCATGAGCGACGAAATCAAACAGAGGAGGGAGAGCTCCTCCTTCTCTCGCTTTGCAGAAATGTAACTGGAGAGCTCTGCTGCAATCTTGCAATTCAGGTTTTGGATCCTTCAGGGATTGTAAACATTCACAAGCAAAGATTTATGTCTTGTAGATGTATTTTAAGGATTCTCAAAAGGAAGTTTGTTCAAATAAAGACAAAGGACAATCAGGAGCCGCGTGTCAAATTCTGTTTTCATCACTTCACAGAAAACAAATCAGACATGCAGATCGTTACTATTGTCTTTTGCATGTTATATTTTGACTGGGTTGAAATTTCACTTCAAATATGCAATCCATAATCAGAGGTAACTTTTTCTGCACACACCAAAAGTATGCTTGTTGCCACATTCTGAGAAAAACAGCTTTTTAAAACTTGTATCTTCATGCCGTTTGCTGTACATTGCATGCATATATTTTTACACCACTATTATTTTTAATATAACTTTTTATCTAATTCTAAAAGATGGGGACATTTGCACCCAGAGACTGAGATTGATGAGACAGCTTTTGCACAACCTGGACTCTGCACCGGGTGCAATGTCCTCTTTCTAATTGCAGTTCAGAGTTCAGCCTTTGTGGGTGATTTTATTTTCACATACTTTGTAATTCTGAAAAGTCATTCAAAGAATCTTGTTTGTCCCAGTGGATGTCCATAAGATGGTAATTAAAACAGATTGCAGGGGACAATTGCTGGTTTGGATGTTTTGTTGTAAAACCTTTCTCTGGTATGTCATAATGGTGGGAAATCCTGAATATGCCTTTCAGAGCTGAAAAACAGCATATTTCTTGATATATATATAATGTTTAATAAGAACATTATTTGTATAATATGTACACATAACCAGAATAATGTTGTTTTCGTCAGGGAAAACAATTAAAACTGCAGAGCAACAACATATCTTTAAAAAATCTGTAAAAAAAAAAAAGAAAGAAAAGAAAAGAAAAGATCCCAAATTCTCAGGCAATTATTTGAGGAATCTATGCCACTGAGGCTCAAAATGCCTTTAATTCTGTCATGTGCTCTCATGGTCTGATCTTGCTGAAGAATTCTGGACTTTGGTAGACTTTGAAACAAGCAAAGGCTTTAGATAAACTAACTAGTGAGATAGAGATTGTTATCTAAGTGTGTTTCAAAAACAGAACTATTTCGTCATGTACTGTCTCATGGGCCTTCTGTCTGGGCCGTCTGAAACTAAGTTTTTCACACATGCTGACACAAAAGAAAATATAATGAGAAAAATATCTGCTTGGACAAGTCAGACATAAAATATTTATTTTCAGAAAATTGAAAACAATTTGCTGAATCCTAATGTTTTTAATTGGATGCTCATTAAAAATGATCATGTTGTGAAAGAAGCATCAGTGAGTTTGTTGTGCAAATGAGCAGACTGATTAGTTTTATTAGTTTTATTTTGACCCTTGCTCAAAAATACATAGTTTAATCTTTACTGAAGATGGATATAAAAGGTAAACTGGTCCAAGTATGGATCCCTGAAGAAC